TTAGTAGTTCAACACAGTAAAGATCAGTGACACTGCTCTTTTTGGCTTCTCCCTAATGATCACAAGATGGCTGCTATAGTTCTAGATACCATATTCATATTCAAGGAAGGAAGGAAGGGAAGAGAAGGGAAGCCAGTCTTTTCCTTTGGTAAGGAAAACTAAAACTTTCCCAGAAACCTGCCAGTAGACTTCTGCTTTATATTTCATTCATATAGCCGCACTATAAAAGAAATGAAATAACAAGCTACTTACTGGGAGGGGGGGAATATAACACAAAGGATTACTATTTAGAATATACAAAGAACTCCTATAAATTAATAAGAATAAGGCAACCAACTCAATGGAGCCTTGGTGGCGCAGTGGTTAAGAGCCACAGTGAGCTACAGGTGCTAACCAAAAGGTTGGTAGTTTTAATCCACAAGCCACTCCTTGGAAACTCTATGGGGGCAGTTCTATTTTGTCCTGTAGGGTTGCTATGGTAGTGACTGACTCAACAGCAGTGGGGTTCAGCAATCAACCCAATGAAAAATAGGCAAAAGACATGAACAAGCAATTGGCAGAAAACATTTTTTTTTGTAAACAAACTTAGGAAAAGATGCCCAATCACATAGTGATCAGGAAAATGCAAATTTAAGACTACACCGAGAGACACATTATACTCACTAAATTAGCAAAATTTAAGAAATCTGAAAATATCAAGTGTTGATGAGAATGTAGAGCTTTTATCCACTGCTGGTTATTGTTTTTAGTTGCTGTCAAGTCAATTCCAATTCATGGCAATTCCCTGTGTTACAGAGTAGAACTGCTCCATAGGGTTTTCTTGGCTGTAATTTTAATGGAAACAGGTCGCCAGGCCTTTTCTTCCATGGTACCACTAGGTGGGTTTGAACCGCCAACCTTTAGGTTAGCAGTTGAGCACAAACCGTTTGCATCACTGTTATGGATGGAATTGTGTCCCCCTAGAATATGTGTTGTAAATCCTAACCTCTGTGCTTGTGGTTATAATCCCATTTGTCTTTGTTATGTTAACAAGGCAGGATTAGTGTAGGGTATGTCTTGAGTCAATCTCCTACAAAATATAAAAGGATATTAAGCAAGCAGAGATGGGAGAAGATAAATGCCAAGCCACAGGGAAATCTCCAATGAACCAGGAGACAGGAGCTGAGAGATAAGAACCTTCCCCCAGAGCAAAGAGAGAAAGCCTACCCCTAGATTTGGCACCCTGAATTGAGACTCGCCTCCTAAACTGTGAGAAGATAAAATTGTTAAAGCCATCCACCTGTGGTATTTCTGTTATAGCAGCATTAGATAACTAAGACAACCACCTAGGGACTCTTGCACTGCCGGAAGAAGGGTAAAATGGTAGAACCACTTAGGAATACAATCTGGGATTATCTAGTAAAGTTTAATGTGGGCATACCCCATGATGCAACAGTTCCAAAGCTAGTAATTCTACATAAGAGAGAGGAACAAGAGCTTCACACAGCAGTGTTACTTGTAACAGTAAAAAATGGAAATAACCCAGATGACCATTGTCAGAAGAGGGAATAAACTCTGATATATTCATATGATAGAACTACAGCTATTGCAACAACATGACTGAATGTAAGAAATACAATTTTGACTGAAAAAAAATCAAGGGCAGAAGACTACATATATATCATTTTTTTAAAGCTAAAAAACAAGCAAAGCTAAACAATGTATTTATTTTAGAGATACATAAACATGTGGTTAAACCATACAGGGGAAAAAAGCAAACAAAAGATAAACAGAAAATTCAGGGTAGTGGTTACCTCTCCTGAAGCAGGGAATGAAAAAGAGATAGAACACACAAGTAGATTCGATGATACTGTAATGACCTGGGTCTTAAGTTGAGTAGTGGATTCATAGTTGCTCATTTTATTATTATGCTTTATAACTTACTTATATGTTATGCCTATATATATATGTAACAAACATTACATTAAAAAAATATCAATGAAGTAAGAAAAAACAGCTTTGACAATAAGTGTAAAAAGGAGTATAATATCTCATATTGTGAAATTTTCTTGTCAGGGCACAAGCACTAGAGAAGGAGACATTTGCATTTTTAATTGTTTTAGTTTTACAATGCTGTCAGAGCACAAGTAGTCCCTGATTTACAACCTATTTGAGTTGTAGTTGTAATGAACTGCACTTAAAACTGATTTTTTTTGTACATCTTATCATAATATGTACTATATAGTATTGCAGTGCATGATTTGCTGTTATCATTCTCAGATGTTCACTTGCAGATGTTTAATGTTATGATTTATAAAGATACTGATAATAAAAGGTAATAATAATGAAAACTAAAAAAAAATTAGGTATTTCACTTACAGCAGAGTCAGCTTATGACGGAGCCATGGGAACAGATCCCTTTTGTAAGTCAGGGACTACCTGTATAATAAAAACTGTATTTGTTTCAATCCAGATGGGGAAAAGAACGTTGTTGTTGTTAGTTGCCCTCAAGATGATTCCAACCCATGGCGACCCTATGAGTTACAGAGTAGAACTGCTCCATAGAGTTTTCTCGGCTATAATCTTAATGGAAGGAGATTCACAGGCCTTTTCTTCTGTGGTACTGCCGGTGGGTTTGAACCATGAACTTTTAGGTTAGCAGCACAGCACAAACCATTTATGCCACCTAAGGACCTATGCACATACAAATTCAAATACTCTAAGGGAATTGATTCTTACTATTTTGCAGACACTTTACGAAATAAGTAGTTGAGACAAGAGAAAAGCACTATTAGAGCAGAGAGAGGGAGATTTATAAAAAATGTCAAACAGCATGACAAAATCAAAGCTTGAAAAGTACTCTTGAAGGTAAATATACTTTATTATTAAAAAACAAAAACAAAAAAACACCAAACCCATTGCTGACGAATCAATTCGAACTTACAGTGACCCTATAGGACAGAGTAGAACTGCCCCTTAGGGTTTTCAGGGCTGGAAATCTTTATGGGAGCACATTGCCACATCTTTCTTTTCTGTTAGCAGCTGAGAGCTTAACCACTGCGGCACTAGGACTCCTCCAGCAGATGTCAAGCCTGGTCTAAAAACATGCCCTATACCAAGAAACCAAGAGCTCAAGGCAGAAATTGGGAAGCCTTTCGGTCAAGTTACGGGTGCTCTGGTGACGCAGTGGTTAAGCAAAAAACAAAAACAAACCCTGTTAATATATCAATTGTTTTCTTTACTTCCTTTCTCACCTAAGAAAATATCCGTTGGTGTGGGAGAGGCTCTCTGTGGAGCCTTTCTAGATCTTCCAGGTAAAAGTCCACTTGTTGCTTTGTGTGCCCACTGTATATCAATCAACACATTTCTATCACAGTTTTCCTTTATTTACATGCCGTTTTTCCTAACTGGTAGGCAGCTTCCTTGAGGGAAGAGGCCTTCTCTTGTTCATCACAGTCTCTCCACAGCTGTGCACTGGCTCTGGTATTTGTAAAAATCCACCAAACCCATTGCCCTCCAGTCGATTCTGACTCATAGCAATTTTATAGAACAGAATAGAACTGCTCCATAGGGTTTCCAAGGAGCAACTGCTGCATTCGAACTGCCAACGTTTTTGGTTAGCAGCTGAAATGCTTAACCACCACGCCACTTGGTATATATAGGGTACCCAGTAATCAACAAGGTTTTTTGAAAAAGCACTTAAAAAATAAATGTTTATTTCTAAAGCTGTTTAATAAAACCTGTGTCCAGGCTGTGCCCACACACAGTAGATGCTCAATCAATGTGTTTCACATGAATTCCTGATACTTAGGTATCACAATGTCCTCTCAGTACTTTCAATTTATTGTGTCCTTGCAATCTTGGGCCTTTATAACTCAGGAAGTAAGGAAAGCCTCAGAATGAACAATGACACATTTTTCTCACGAGTAAATTGTTGAAAGCTTTAAAAAAAATTAAAATAAAAAAGTTATTTAAAAATATTAAAACAAAATATTAAAAGTATAAAAATTTTAAAATAACTTTTAAAATATTAAAATAAAGTCCAAAATACACATTTCTTTTATGAAAAACATGCTTCTTCCAAAACATTTTTTTTGTGGAGGATCATTTGAGGCTATATCTTTAGACTCCCTGAGGGTAATGTTATCTCTCCTTTGGTTTTAGGGGTGCTTCACAGGAAAAGTCTGCATCTTACTTTTTTTATAATGTGGTTAAGATATGAATAAGGAGGAAAAATATCAATAGTTAACATCTGTAGCTGGGTTTACCCTCCGTAAAGCACTTTCATATTATCTTTTCCGGGCTTCACCACTTCCCATCGACTGAAACACAACGCAGGGGTCATCAGCACCCTGATTTTACAGATCAGGAAATTGAAAAATGACCGTATCTTCTCCAAGGCTCTCCCGGCAATCACGGATGGAGGGTGCCCTTTATTACAAGATCTCCATGGAAGCAGAGGGGGGGTGGGGTTGCCAGCGGCCCGGCCTGCAAGATCCTACGTTTGGGAGCCTAGGTCTCCCCCGCTGCTCGGCGCCTCAGGTTCACGGGACCTCGCTTGGCCATCACCAGAGGAACGCGGGGTCAGAGGAACGCCCCCTCCCAGACACCGCACCAGAGGCGCCGGCAAGCCCCGCCCGACCGCCCGGCGTCCAACTGCAGGGGCAGGCGCCGAAGGTCGGACCGGGCGGGGTCGACGGCGCTGATTGGCCCCGCCCCGCCGCTCCTTTGCCGGCCGCCCCGCCCCTGCCGCGCTCCTTCAGTCCGCAAGGCCGCGCGCTGGCCGGTCCCGCACTGCCGGCAGGAGGGGTCGGACCCGCATTCCTCCTCCCTACCGGTCTCCATCCTTAAAGCACGAGCCCGGTCGCCCCGCCTGTTGGAGAGGGCGCCGGGATCCGGACAGCGAACAGCCCAGACAGGCGACGCTGACCGAGGAGGGCCTGTGGCGACGGAGCGGCTGCGACTGGCGCGCGAGCGTGTCGGCCCCGACCGAGTGGTTGCGGGAGTTGCGAGGGGAGGGGTCCCGGGCGCCATTGCTGGCGGTCGGAGCGCCGCCCGGTCCTAGTCCGCCCCTCGGCTGCTCTCCCTTGGCTGGGAGGAGCTGTAGCTCGGGTCCCTCGCCAACCCCTGCCCCGAGCTCGAGAATCGGGTGCCTCCCCGGCCCGCCTCGACCGAGACCATGTTTGACAAGACGCGGCTGCCGTACGTGGCCCTCGATGTGCTCTGCGTGTTGCTGGGTACGTACGCGCCGCCTGGCCCGAGGGGCGTGTGCGCGGGAGCCTGCTTGGGGTGCGCATCCTGCGGGTGTGTCTCTGGGAGAAGACTCGCGAAGAACCGCGTACCGGCGTGGGGTGTGTGTGTGTGTGTGTGTGTGTGTGTGTGTGTGTGCCTGCCTGACGCGCGCGCCTCTGCTGGGCTAGACGCGGGTGGCAGCTTCCGCAGCCGGGGGGACCCCGCTTTGCAGGCTGCTCCCCGGCTCCCGCGTGGCCGCCGCTGTCTGTCTGTCGCCCGCCGGTGCGCTGAGCCTAGCCCTGCTTGGACTCTGCTCACGCCTCTGCGCTCAACCGCTCGCTCTTGTTCTCTGTTCCGTTCCACTCCTGGCAGAGTAGCGTGGGCTGCTCGTCTCTGCTGTAGAGAAGCCTGGTCACTGGCTCATCAGGTTCAGTAGTAAAATTGGAGGCTTGATGCACTGGGGGTTCTCAGTAACAGGCGCCAGTGCACGTTTTATCTTATTTGTGGGTAACAGTTTAATTTTTCGGCCATAAAAGGGTAGAGCGCTCCTCATTAGAAGGTGTTGCCAGGTTATAAATTGTCAGGTTGCAAGTGGGGGTGAGGATGCCAAGTTCCTGCCTATAGGTCTGAAGAAGCTTGATTTTGTTTTGAGGGGAAGGGATGCCCTAGGCCTGCTATCTCTTCTGCACAGACCTTGCCGTGTAGCTTTCCATCTTCTGTGACAGCTTGCAAGGAGCACTAGACGTTCTTCGGCTGCAGCAAATTTGGCGTTGTCTTCCCAATGGAAGATTTCAATTCTGGGGCTTCTGGTTAGCAGTTACTCCTTTCTTTTGACGAGAAAGAGTTGAAATCATCTGGATAAGGGAAAGCTGTTGGAAGGGGTAGGTTTCACCTTTTTATATGTCTTCTGTAAGGCAATTATATTGTGAATTATTTATGCACTGTGGGAAAAACAAAAACAAGATTTGCTCCAGGTTTATGTAGTTCTACTTATGTTTAGGAGTCCCTGGGTGGTGCAAATGGTTAAGCGCTGGGCTACTAACTGAAAGGTTGGCGGTTCAAATCCACCTAGAGGTTCCTTGGAAGACAGGCCTGGCAGTCTGCCTCTGAAGAAGGTCACAGCCTTGAAAACCCTATGGAGCAGTTCTGCTCTGCACACATGGGGTTGCCATGACTCGAAATCGACTGGACAATAAGAACAACAATCATGTTTAAGTAATTGAGGTACTAGTATTGGCAAGTTCTCAAGTTTGGATATCTGTGACTTTAGCATCCTAGATTCAAGTTTACATGTTGGCTTCTCAGTGATAGGAAATTTCCCGAGTTTTAATGAGTAGTTCCTGAATATTCCAGGGAGGCTTGGTGGCATTAAGTGCTTGGCTGCTAACCAAAAAGGTTAGCGGTTCAAACGCACCAGCCCCTCTGCAGGAGAAAGATGCAGCAGTCTTCTGTAAAGATTTGCAGCCTTGGAAACTATGGGGCAGTTCTGCTCTGTCCTGTAGGGTCACTATGAGTTGGAATCACTCATAATGGGTCCTTAATATTCCACTCTCCTGCCTTCAGCCTGACCATTTAGATGCTTGCAGTCTTGGTGAGTTCTCATAAATTCTGTTACCTGTTTTTTTTTTTTAAGGAAAAATTCCTTTTATCTGTGAAACGTCTTTATTGTCTACCAAGACACTTCCTGTGTAACTGCACAGTGGATTTTAGGAATTCAGTTTAGGAAAGGGGAAAACTATTTTAGAAGGCTTAATTGTATAGGAACACAAACAATCTTTTAGATGGCAGGACATATTAATAATTATATTAAAATATACTCAGATTTACTTGTGATGAAACATTTACTGTAGGGAATGATGTTAAGTTTTAAAGTGTATTTTAACTTGTGCTCAGTGTCAGTGGAGCCTTGTTAAACTTCATTTATATTTCATGAAGGGAAAGGAAAATATTTGATCAGAAGTAATTTTGGTAATTCTGATATGTTGTACATTGTCCTGTCATTGCCACATTTTGCATACTATCAGAATTATATATCAGCTTCCCTCTTTCCAGAATTATATATCAACTTCTGTCTTTTCTACCCTCTGGGAGTTACTAATTTATACAACAAACATCGTGTTCTTTCTATGGGCCAAGCACTATAATAGGAGGGATGAAACATAATACTGCTGTGAGGTAGCTGAAGCTAATATTGTTAAACATAACGCCATATGTTAGATCTGTGAGGTTTGTTTGTTTCAATTCATGAGTAATGGAGGCATCTATATGCAGTACAATTTTTATAAATTATGGGTTGTTGTAGCCTTTTATTTTCAACATGGTGCAAACACTGTGTAAGTAAGGCAGGAACATCACGTAATTGCCCTATAGAAGGGTAACTTTAGTACTGCATTGACCTGACAGTTGCAGGATAATATGATGGCTTTTAAAAAGATAGAATTGTGCTGAAGATTTTAAATGTCTTTTATGGTTTTGGAAAAAGCTTGCTTTGGGCACTTTTGCTTTAAATATGTTTTAGAGAAGTGAAAATGATGTTTGATTCATTTGAAAAACATAGTTTATCTGTTTTCATATTACTGGAGTTTCTTTTAAAATAATTCACTGTATTTAAAGTATAAGCTCAATATTCCCTTTTCCATAAATAGAAAGTGAAGCACTGACTTATTTTGATTAGATATGTAAGATGACATTAGATTTAACTGCATTCAGCTCTCCATTACAAACAGCACGATGGAGGAGAACAGTGGTGCAGGTGATACATGAAAGTTTTTCATGTTGGGTTTTGGAAGATACATGTTTTTATAGTGAAGTTATTTTTCTAGTGGGGTCTTTCTAAGGGTCATATTAAACTTCGTTTTTATTTTCCATACTGACAGCCTGAGATTGGCAGCCTAAAATCATGGTAGCTCAAAGAGAGATATCACCTAGGCATTAAGTGTTTTCTTTTGCTATGGAGAATCTACAGGTAAGAGTTGACTGTACTAACAAAAAGATGATTAAGCACTTCATAAGTACAGGGTTATGTGAAAATGTTTCATAATTATAGTGTGAATATGCTCCAGGTTTTGTTAATGACCACCCCAGCATCATACAGTGTATCCATTTTAATATGACTATGTTACATGATTGTGCTACACAGCTACTTTATAATTTTACAGAGGGTAATGTTTGAAGGTTGGTGTGATCATTAAACATTCTGTGTGTGTGTGTGTGTTTCTACCCCAAGTTATCTTTATCATCATTTTAAGCAGGAATTTCTCTATTTATGTAATATGCTCAAATGATTAGTTCCTTCACTGGAGCTGATAAATTCTTGAAAGAAGAATCCTTTTTTTCCTCACAATTTCCAGTACATTTCTTAGATGAACATATATATTTTAAATTTTATTGTGCTTTAGGTGAAAGTTTACAGTGCAAATTAGTTTCTTATTCAAAAATTCATACACAAATCGTTGTGTGACATTGGTTGCAATCCCTGCAATGTGTCAGCGCTCTCCCCCTTTTCCTTTACACCTTGGGTTCCCTGTGTCCATTTGTCCAGTTTTCCTGCCCCTTCCTGCCTTCTTGTCTTTGCTTTTGGGCAGGAGTTGCCCGTTTGCTCTCCTATACTTGATTGAACTGAGAAGCACCTTCCTTATGTGTGCTGTCGTTTGTTTTATAGGCCTGTCTGATCTTTGGCTGAAAGATGGACTTGGGGAGTGTCTTCAGTTCTGAGTTAGCAGGGTGTTCAGAGGCCATACTCTCGGGGGTTCCTCCAGTCTCTGTCAGACCAGTAAGTCTGGTCTTTTTTTTTTTTGTGAATTTGAATTTTGTTCTATATTTTTATCCTGCTCTGTCCAGGACCCTCTACTGTAATCCCTGTCAGAGTGGTGGGTGGTGGTAGCTGGGCACCATCTAGTTCTTCTGGGCTCAGGCTGGTAGAGGCTGTGGTTCATGTGATCCGTTAGTCCTTTGGACTAGTATTTTCCTTATGTCTTTGATTTTCTTCACTCTTCTTTGCTCTGGATGGGATGGGCCCAATAGATGTATCTTAGGTGGCTGCTTGCAAGCTTTTAAGATGCCAGATGCTACTCATCAAGGAGGATGCAGAACATTTTCTTTATGAACTATGTTGTGCCAGTTGGCCTAGATGTCCCCTGAGACCATGGTCCCCATCCCTTAGCCCCAGTTTGGATGTGTCTAGGAAGGACAGATAATTTTGAGAGATCAGTATATTTGATTTCTTTCTAAAATGGAACATACCCCTGCCATCTTTAGTTCTTTTGGTGTGATGGATTCTATGATTGTAGAAAAGACCATAAGCATCTTCTGAGCGCACACGAGAAGCTGCTCAACAGAGAATGACAGTGGACTGGTTTTTTTAATCCTGGTTGAAAGTGGCTATGTATTTGCTTAATATGTTCAGCCATGTCCTGAATAAAACTTTTTAGTGTTTAGTCACTGAGAGTCATTCCAGGTTTTGTGGCATTAGGCTGCCAGTTGATGGACACTGAGTCAATTTAATTGATTCAGTTCACGTTGATTGAAGGCCGACTGTGCTGGGTAGCATGTTAGGTGCTCAGAGTCTAATGAAGGATAGGCAAATAAGCAATTACAATACACCGTGATAAGTACAATAATGGAGACATGGAATAGCTGCCCTGTGAGCTCAGAGAGGGGTTTTATCTTAGATCTGATCCATTATACATAAAGATAGGTTGTCAGTCTACTCTGAGAGATGCAGAAATGTTGAAAGTTATCTGGAATTACTCTTAGATGATTTTTTTTTTTTTTTAATTTGTTATAGGGCAGTAGGAACCCAAATGAGTACCTATGTTTATGACTCTTTTGCAGGGAGCCGCATGATGTCTAGTAGATTAGATGGAACTGCCAAAACCTTCTTTTCATGGCTTGTGTTTTGTTGTGTGGCAATCATTTAGAATACCTTTCTGTGCTGCATATTCTCTGTCCCTCCAGATTTTCTCACCACCCTTCTCCACCCTGTTCTGTGCTCTGAGAAGCCACT